GGGGACTAAAAATCGACAGTGAGAAATCATTTGAATTAGGATTTTCCTGCCGACAAACACGCGTGAACTCAAAATTAATTAAAATGTCAGGGGTTAAACTGCGTAAAATGATTTCCGGTCTCGACAAATTTTGCATCAACCGTCATACAAGATCAATAATAATTTACAAATTTACACAGTAAAAATTATAAAAATTCATAGCTGTTTGAAAAAAACTTTATACAAATACAACATTTTCAAAAAACAAGATGGCTGCCAGTCTGCCATTTTGAATCGAATCGCTAAACAACTGCATGTGCATATGTCCCACATAAAGTACTAGGCACATGCAAAGAATGAACAGAATCGGTCCAAGGGATTCTGAGATATGACTCCGGACGGACGCACGGACACACGGACAGACGGAGACCGAATTATAAGTCCCCGTTTTCGGACTTCGTCCGAACGGGGACTAATAAGGAGACAAGAAAAATGGGGTCGCTCTGCTGCGAGGGCACACGATGCTTTTGTTTACAGTCTAGCAATCGTCTTTGACCTTTATGCATCTGCTTTACTGATTGGCTAATAATGACATCACTACTCGCATTTCATCATAAAGGTCAAATCGTGACATTGCTTTTTTATCAGACTCAACGCTTATTAATCACGGTGAAAGTTATCATTCAGCAAGTTCCGGCGGTTGGAATGTCTCACTATATGAATATCACGGTGGACTTGAAATAGGAAGTTTTTTTTTATCCAACGACAGAAGAATGTTTTCATGACGGTGATGAAAGATGGTAACAAAGTTGGCAGTCTTCGGCGTGACATTGCAAAATTGCTGACCCCAGTTATAGTTTCGCAAGCTGCTACAAAATATTTTATAAAGCCAAAATAACGTGATTTCAACCACTCTCCCAAATACGGGTTGCTACAATATTGCAACATTGGTTTCATTGTCGACGGCGCTAAAGCCAATCGAGTGCGACACTTGCGGCTCTCCTTTTACGATTTGCCTGAATCGTTTCTAAGTTACTAAGGAAGCACAAACCAAACGGCCGGCCATTTTTAGGGCCACGACATATTTTAAAAAGAGAACTACCGTTTCTGCTTTAATATATATTTGTATAGACTTGCTGACTGTTATGATTCAGAACGCGCTGTCCTGAAGGGCCCTGAAGGCAGAAAGCTGTCACAGCTATTTTGCGTTCACCCCTTGTTTTACGCAATTAACATTTTTTATAAGTATCACGACAGTCTTCAAGAAAGTCAACTGTTAATACAACCACAGTCAACGAATAGAAAATAGTTTTTTTTTTGTGTAGAAAAAGACCCCCTGGGCATGTGCCCAGATATGACCTCAACTCCTTTATTGTGTCAAAAGTGGGGGGTGGGCGTTTGCCCAGGCATGGGCTCTTACCCGGATAAGTACGGTAGTAAAATTTAACTTGGCGCATAGTATGGTTTATATTACATGTTCACTTCATTTCGAATAAAATAATTCACCATTGGAACATCGATGAATCAAAACTATTGAAAATATTTTCTTGACTTTCCGTAGACACCCGACTACTATCCTTTTTAATGACTTAAATGCGCCCATGTTTATGTTTGCGTAATTATTACGAATTCAAGCATTATCAAGTCGGTAATATTGAAATAGTCACAGACCCAATACCCCGGGTCAGCATCCTAACAATAGTAAAAAATAATTTTGCGTAATTATCATGAAAGCAATACATTACACAATTGAAATATTTAGAGCCAGTGCAATATTGTAAACAAATTTGCGTATTTAGAAAAGCAGTGAACTAAGAAAACGACGTTGATATATTCAAAGCCAGTACAGAGTTACATACAAGTTGCGTAATTACAGTGCCGTCGGATATAATAACAATTTTACTAGATCGACGCGTGGACCACGAAAGAAAAAGGTTGCTAAGGAAACGCGCCAGTCCAGTGCGTGACTTGGGGTCAAACTTCGGTCAACACACACTTGATGCCAGCATTGCCGCGCAGCAAGTTTCAATTGCGCCCAAAAATGATGTCGCTGATCACACAGATGTCGCAGCGTGTGTTGTGTCGTGTCTATGATGCACCCCGTTTCGACTTTGGCTTGTTTTTCCTTAGTGCATGTTCTTGTTCACGTAAAATGTGACCTCTCACCAATGTATTAAAACACATTGAATTTATACTTCACATGATTATATTTGGTCAACGCGAAACATTATTTTTTCTAAACATTTTCTGAGACTATTTTGATCAACGCAGGGTTATTTTTCCAGACAATATGGGCTTCGTAATATATGCCAAAACATCGCCCGGGCGATCTTTTGGTCCACATTTTTCTAAAAAAAAATCGAATCCTCCACAAGATCACCCAGGGCAGGGTATCAGCCGAATCCGGTATATTGACAACATTTTACCTTTCTCCCCGTACTCGTTTGTCTCTTGTGGATGACAAACTGTGCTGAAATAGACACTGGTTTCCATAAGGACAACGACGATCTCTCAGCCAATTACGACAAGTTTCTGGTCTTTCTGTACTCAACCTCTGAAAAAAAATTTCATACCACATTAGCTCTTTAAAAAACAAATTAAGAATTCTGGTATTTACTAGCATGAGAAAACTAAATCAAGAAATCTAATAGCGAAAAAAATCAACTTAATCTGATGGTGATTTTCAAAAAGACGCCAGAAATTAACAACAAGCAGTCTGTCAGCTGAGATAGCTTTGCTGTTAGCAATGCACATTACAATTAAAGAACTGAAGATAAATTAACAATATGTATAGTATCAAAAGAATCAGAAGAAGTCGAAAATATCACTTTTCACCAAAAATTACAAAAATATTCACCAAAATTAGAGAATTAAAGATATCATTACAAAATGAACAAATTTGAATTGCACGAAATGTGATACATGTAATTTCAAAGGAATACAACAATACTGTGACTCAAAGCGAAAATGAAATGAATCAATAACGAATAATGACCAAATCTAAGAGAGGTCAATTGCGGGCATATACATGTCTACTGTATAATACCTCATATAAGCGCCACTTTGATACATTTTCATTTCTGTCTGGCACTAATTTGAGCTCACATTTTGGCACTTAATTGAGGTCAGTCATTTTTTCACACACTACGGTAACGTTACCTTACAATCAGAGGAATCCTGTCTATACAATGTACTGGATTCTGCCGTAAATCTGCCCTTGGCCGTTAAACGGCGGTTTGGTTTTTTTTTTTTTAAATGAGATCAAGAAATCGCATTTTTTTTGTTTGTTTTTTAATATTTTGGCTTCATTTTTCGGACATTTAAATAGTATGATTTTTATCATGACCAACATGAATGGGTAAGCTGTTTTTTAATATTTTGGCTTCATTTTTCGGACATTTAAATAGTCTGATTTTTATCGTGTAAACAATGTTAAATTATTCTTCAAATGCTCAGTTTATATTTCCAAAACAAATAATTTCTTGATTAAAAAAAAATAGGCCAATGGCCTGCTGCTCAACGGCTATTGTACAAAAGATTAGTGCTGTATATGCCAAAACTTTTCGTTTAAATTTGTACTTTTAAAAACAACAAACAACCACACAAAGTTGTCAATGGAATAATAAACACTTGTATGCCTAACACCAAAGCATTGAAAATAGTGGTTAGTTGAAATTCCATTTTCAACCAAAAATGACAAAAATATTTGCCAAAATTAGAGAATTAGAGATATGGCCATGGGATGAACAAATCTAGTAGATGTCAACACAAGGTACATACACATCAAGTATCAAAGCATTCAGGCTACCGGTTTTGAAGAAGAAGTCGAAAATAGAATTTTTGACCCAAAATGACCATTTTAAAATATTCGCCAAAATTAGGAAATTTTAAATTTCCTTACCAAAACAAAACAAAACTGATAAAAGGACAACCCAAGGCACATGCACTATCACAATATCAGCACTGTAGACTATTTAGTGTTATAGTAGCATAAGCTACACACAGTAACGGTAGGATATAAGTAATATATCGGTGCAGTGGGCTAAATGCGGTCGTGGGGACTCTGGTTCGTTAACAAAATACCCAGCTCAGTGTTGCATGTGAAGTTAGAATGTTGTATTAATGGGAGTCTAATGTTTATGTTAGACTGTATTTATGAATGTGCTATCAAAATGTAATACAAGATACTACTCATTACGTGGTTACTATAATGAACAGGAATACATGTATCTATGCACAGTACTGCATAGTGCCACTAACTGCTACAACCATATAGGCTAACATATCAGTACAGAGTACTGAAGAGAATGTATGGCATACGCAGTAATCCTAACTTACTCAATACAAATGGCTACCACATACACAATACAGTATTTACTAACTAGAAACACTAAGTGCTGATAGATACTACGTAATAAGTACTAAGGCTGTGAATGTCTGAGTATTCACTAGATACATAGAAGTATATGCTAGCAACAACAGAGATTAGCACTTGGATATTAAATACAGGTACTTGGTAAAATAAAATACTTTAAAGTTACTATAATTGAAAAGATTACTTAGGCCATACCGACTTAATTTTATGGATGACATCCGTGCGCGCATTAGTTTTCGTCTGTTCTCAAAAAAAAATAAAAAATCTCCGACGACGAGTCTCCACAGATTGGTTTTCTGTCCAGAACTTGCCGACTCAATATTGTTGTAAAATTCATTTTGGACTACCTCAAAGCGTGCCAATTTTGTGGTAAATGATCTTCTGTACATGCGTATTGCATTGCCGGGAATTCCAAATAAATAAAATTTCAGAGGAAAAACAGAGGGATTGTTGTAGACGTAATTGACGCAATTGACGTCGGCCAGGGAGATGTGACGTTTACACAGCTATACGAGAGATTGGTAGCGGCAAGCGAGTTTCGCCCAGACAACTTTAAGGACATATTGTCCAGAGTGGCTGTCCCCCGTTTCTTCTGCAATGATGAGAGAAATGGGAGAGGAGTGGAGGTGTATGGTGGCCTAAAAATCAGTCAGGCGACAAGTGAGTTTGGTTGCTTTGTCCGCATTGAAGTTGACAAAACTGCAATGAAAGCAGAGGAAGCTCTTCGGCCGAAGTCCGCTTTTGAGATGAAGATCATATGACAAATTTTCATGAAGATACATGTACATAATTTTCTGCATCCAAATTTGTTTTTTTTTCAATATCGAGTCTCATAATTTGTTACATAGTTGAAGTAGTTCTAGAGCATTTGTGTCTATACTTAGTCTATCTGAAGTGTCACTTTAAAAGCTGTAGTTTGAATGTCAAAGAAGTTAATTTCCAGGTTGCTGTTGACAAACTTGTTGTTCATTTTTAATTCAATTTTTGTTTTCAATACAACACAAGTTTTTCTTTATTTAATATTTATTTATTTCTTGTTGTTTTTATGATACACTGTGTTCTGTAGTTCAATTCGTAATTTTTATACCAGCTCCGTAGTCCTGTGGTTTTCGCAGCATTTTTTTTTTTTTTGGCAGGTTTTTTTTTTTTTTTTTTCGCCCTATCGCATTAAGATTTGGGGTCTCCAGGGGATGTCATCCATAAAATTAAATCAGTGTGGCCTTATCTAGTGTTACGGTAACAAAGGCGTACTAAATACAACAGTATACATTAGCTTAACTGTAAAATACTAAGACTATCGTAATGTATCGAGTGCTCAAATAATACACAACCAATGCAGTCATCTACAATGCCATAATAGTAGGGAAGTACAAATAATTCCTACACGATTACTGAAATAGTATATTCACAGGTTTATATCAACAGAAAATAGTTAAGTATTCAATAATAAAATAACGCTTGAGTTCAACTACTGAATACTAAAGACATCCAAAATACAAAATGTTTTAAACACGCAAAGCAGACCAAAGTTCCAAATTATGCATGTAACACTACAAGTATTAACTATAACAATAATAGGATACCTCAGAAATAGTTTGGTTTAAGTGAATACTAAAATGACACAATTTAAGGTAAGTATTCAGTAATATCACTCACTAGAATAGTAGTCACAATATGTATGTATAGTAAAATACACAATCCAGGTAAAGTACTCTGAACTAAATAAATGTATATGACACAAAATAATTATCGGTAAGGAAATATCATGCAAAATGCAAACTACACACTGGCTTGATAAATGCATACGTTTGATCACAACATAGATCCGGGAAATGCACAATAGTAAAATGTCACAGTCAATTTATGCACTTTCTACTTGATGCTGAATGTCACATGAATCAAAGTTTGGTAGATGTCTGAGACAGTAAACAAGTCAGTCCAAATGGATGTCAACAACAGAAAGTCACGTGATACGACTGGCAGGACTTTTCCACAACGAAGAACAGTCTTTACTTTAGTTGAAATCTCGACGGGACAACATAATTGGTCGAGTCGATCTACTGGAAACAGTTAATACTGGCGTATAGAACTCAAAATGTCAACGATTGTACTCACAGGAACCTGGATACTTGGTTCAACCACGGTTTCGTTCAACACAATGGCAACAGCAGACTGCAACCTCTGCGGTCGATCCACACAACCACAACTTTCGGAAAAGACTTCTGCCAGTCACTAAATTCCACGCAAACATGATTTCGTCTGTCCCAAGAGTTCCACAACATCCATAACCACATTAGTGCAGTCTTTGGAAGGAATTCAGTCGATTTAACAGAAGATTCGAACTGCCCACATAGACAGAAACAACTCGACAGAGAGGCATAGACTTATTCATAAACAAAGTTATTCCAACACCATACTATAGATGATGCTCTCACTATAGACCGGCAAAGTAGAGTTTTGGGGGGCTAATTTGCATAATTTTTGGCAGATCGACTTCTCATGAACAAATTAGCATCTACACTCATCAAGGCATCCACACACCAAAAATTTAATCAAACGGTTTGGCGGTTTTTGAGAAGTCGTGCACAGATAGATAGATAGATAGATAGACAGATAGATAGATAGATAGATAGATAGACAGATAGACAGACAGACAGACAGACAGACAGACAGACAGACAGACAGACAGACAGACAGACAGACAGACAGACAGACAGATAGATAGATAGATAGACAGATAGACGGATAGATGGATAGATGGACGACAGACGCAGGAAAGAAACTAATCCCATAAGGTCCGTTGAGCCAAAAATCATGCCATTTTCCCATGGAAATCAAAGCCAAAAGATCGCACTACATTATCAGTAAATCTCTTCCGCGTTGCGTTTACCATGAGGTCGCTTAACTGTCATTAACATGAGCTATGGTAATTCAGACACGGGGGCACCATCCAGCATTATGTTTGGTTAATTAGCGACTTGACCTATCCTGTCAATAAACACGTCTCATGTGCATTTAAAACATGGCAGATATCTATCGTATCGAGCGTTTACATGTGACTGAAATTATTCGCTTACGGTGAAACTAAGTTGAATTTTACTTGCAGTTCATAACATTTCAACGGATTTATTTTTCGTGTGTTACTATATTCACTACTAAATAATAATCACCAATTTCAACACTTCGAAAACAAATAAGTTATTCACTTGTGAACCGCAGCATGGTCGGATTGCGCTACCGTATCGTGATCATTTGCTACTAAGCAGTGCATTCGTGTTTGTTTTTATTTGAAACTTCTTTTAGAATATACTTTTCGTTACTAAGAAAATTAAAAAAAAAAATGCATATTACATTAAATATACTTTTTTTTATCATGTGAACAGTTTTTTTTTTTGATTGACCGTAATTTTTCAACATTTCGTAACGCCTATTTTAAAACCAAGTAAGGCCTTTCACTCTTCTCTGACGCCTATTCAAAAGATTGTACGGTGTATTGTTTGTTTTGTGCATGTGTTGTGGGCAAAAAACGATTAGCTCAAGTGTTAGGCGGACGTCGGCCAGATGGGGAATTCACTGGTGCCAATTTCACGGTTTAACCAAACATTCAACTTTGACTGGCGCCTAATTGGTGTGAAAATTATCACCTTTCCTATTGTACTGGTGCCTGATACAGGGTGGCGCTTATAATAATAATAGTAATAATAATAATAATAAATACAAGTTTATATAGCGCCTAGTATCCATCGCAGTGATGCTCAATGACGCTTAGTTTCACAGATAGGCTTACTGAAACAGGTAAGATTTGAGTTTGGTTTTGAAGATGTTAACATTTGGTGCAGAACAGATGTCATTTGGTAATTGATTCCATAAAGATGGCGACGAATGGGCGAATGACCGTCACCATAATTCTTGAGATGAGTCCGAGGTACAGCAAGTGTATGTTTCCTACTTGAGCGAAGGATTCTCTGGTTTTGATTTTTGTGACTAAGGTCCGATATGTAGGGTGGTGTCAAACCATACAGTGACTTGTACGTTAGTAGTAAAATTTTGAAGTGTATCCTATAGTGAACTGGCAGCCAATGTAATTTACAAAGAACAGGAGTGATATAATCAAATTTTTTGGTACATGTAATTGAGCCCTCTGAAGCAGGACCTGCTTCAGAAGGCTCAAAACTGAGGTGTATCTGTGATTTTGGTAAGCCATATGCTATGTTCACACGGCAGCATTTTATCGAAGCAGAACTACTGCTCCTCCCACTGATTAACAGAAGATTATTTCCAATGCGTTCATACGGTCAGGAGCCGAACGAGAGCCGAGATCTGCCAGAGTTCGATTCAGTCCGATCAGAGCCAAACGGAACAGTGCACTTGAATAATGAATATGAAAAATCTGTACTGAAATCGATTTTGGTGTCGTGTTTGTGTTGTTTATTTACATGGCACAATGCTGATTGGCTTGGAGAAAAAAAAGTCGCAAGTCTGAGCATGGAGGTAGAAAAGACAATGCCCTAGTGTTATTATTTAGGTACATGTACTAGTACCTCGAATAAACAGGAAACACGGCAGCTATAATGTGTTACAACCTATTATTTACTGTCATGCAAAATTACCATTTTGTAATTATTCAACTGTTAGTGATATCTAAACTACTAGTACTATGAAAAATCACAGGCTCTCTATTCGCTATCAATCTATCGCAGTGGCAGTAATTCTTTGCTCTGCCAAGTGTATATTAGGGCGCGTACCGGTACCTCTTCTTCAAGCCGGAAATTACGTGAAATTACGAAATATGTTGTCTCCGCCATAATTGAAATGATAGGTTACTTGAAGAGAACAATTGAGGGCGTGATTTCGGCTCCGATAGTGGGCCCTGATGCGTTTACACGATCAGAGCTATGTCGGGACTCAACCCTATCGGAGTTCAACCCCGAGGGTTTGGTGGAGCCGAACTTGGCTGGAGTCGAACGCGTTCACACGGCCATATTTGCTGGCTCGAGTCGTAGGACTCCGATAAAATGCTGTCGTGTGAACGTAGCAATAGAGTAAGGGGTGATCTCATATTCAAACATGCGGGTCAAACCTATGAAAACCCTAACCGCTCTAAACCGCCCGAACAAAACCAAGTTTTGCGGTTTGGAAGTTTAAACAATAGACAGTGCGGTTCAGGACGAT